TCGGAGAGCAGGCGGGCACAAATATTTGCCCGAAAGTAGACAACAATAAATGACAGCTCGCACACACTCAGTGCGCCGTGTTGGTAGTACGTTTTGCCAGCTTTTCCGAACCATTTTTCCCCAACCGCATTTTCCTCGGCACAGCGGGCAACGATAAATGACAGCAAAATGCTGCTGCAAAGCCAAACAGTTTGCAATAACCGCAAAACGGGGGGCTTCGGCTTTAAGTATCGGCAAAACGTTAAGCACTGACCTCGGCGCGGTCCCAACCCCAAACCAAACATTTTACAGTTTCACCTCGAAATTAAATTTCCCCTTCAATGCCGATAGAAAGCCAGAGGAGCCATGACCATAGCCAGAGACCCGGGCATGGTGAAAACTAAAATCAAATTGCCACGCGGCTAGAAATGAAAATCGCGAAATTATCAGATGCCAAAGCGACCGCCGAAAATGGGCTTTGGCGGAAAAATCCCCCGCAGTGTTTATAGGAAAATCTCTCCCCTACTCTACCCCCTCTCTTGGCCATCCATCACACATCCGACTAAATGTAACTAAAAGCCCCTTGGATTATTAAAACCGTAGCAGGAAAACACAAGGAAATAATGCCAAATTATTTTCCACACAAAAACCAGGTAAAAGAAGGGGGGTTTTGGGGGTGGGTTATGGGGCCGAAAGGTGTGCGGCCACGTACCGCAAATATTTGTGGACACGTGTGCAATGGCCAGAAGTGACGGGCCAAGAGCGCCAGTTGCACTCGCGCTTTCCCATTTTTTTTTTTTTTTTTGCTAATAAATGAAAAGCAAATAGCAAATAGGAAAAAGCGGCAACTCAGCTGGTTCTGCCCACGCCACCTGAAAAATATATAAAATCATATTTGTGCCGGCTTTCAGGTCAACGGAGAAAAACTCAACCTATGCTGGAAAATTCTAAAGAGAAAAAAGTATAAAGCAAAACTTTTATCACGTACTCTACTCATGTTTTCCAGTGGAAAAGCTGAAATCTGTCAGTTATGAGTTCAATAGTTATGGCTGGTCATTAACATCAAGGCAGCTTTCGGGGGTTTTCCATTTTTAAATTTACGACTTTAAGTCCCTGACATTTCGAGCAGCCACTTGACGACCTTGACTAGACAACCACCTTCGGATTGTCCTCGGATCAAGGACCCTCTCACTATATAACCAAAGCACATACCCGCGAAAAAAAAGCGAGCCTGGAAAATAAAGTTAAAAATTCAAATGGGTCGACGTCTCCGGCGCCTCCAGGCCAAAGTCACAGAGTTTACTTGAGAGCTGAGGGGGGGTTTGAGAAAGGGGGGAGCTCAAGGAATGGGGTCTGGGATCTGGGGTTTTAAGGAATCGCAGACAGTGGATGAAGCCCAACTGCAAACAGAGATTGGGACACCAGACGTTCACTCGCTGACAGCTGAGTGTATTCTTAATAATGCATATACACAACCGACAAGAACGACAACAAAAAATAGCAGTGTGTACAGGCACTGCAAAAAAAAACTTTAAAGAAAATTTTGGAAAATTTAAAAATTAAATTTTTTATAAGGAAAACTTTACAACTTATATAAACTTATATAGTCTATATATATGGGTAAATGTTCTATAATTATTATAGATTTTAATTTTCATAAACTAAACTTTTTACAAACAAATTTCTTATAATTCTCAAGTAAGCAGTTCTTAAATTCTTTAGAATTCTCAAGTATGTAGTTTGGTTCCTGAAATGTTCTATATTTTCTTCTATATAAAACAATTAATTATAAACAAATCTTTTATACACTAATAATATGAGATACATTTTCTTAATTTTTTTTTTTAATTTTCCCAAAATTCCATTAAACATTTTTCTTTCTCTGCCCAAATGGACATAGAAGTCAATGGCGGGGTGGAGTTGCGTCTGACGAAAATTTTACAATTTCGCACGCCATAGCGCCTACAGAATGTCACAAGCCAAGTAAGGGAGAATGGATGGTGGCACAGCCTGCGAGGATGCGGAGGATCCGCATAACGGCTGCTGGCTGCTCCCTGCTCCAGTTCCTGCTCCGCCGCCGCCGTCGTCGTCGTCGACAACAATCACAAAACAGACAAATCCAGCAGCAGCGACCACGACAACGAGAGTCGTCCGTCCATCCCTCCATCCGTCCCAGTGTGTGTTACGTGCCACATGTGCGTCAGATGTGGCAATGATTTGCATCGAGGTGTGGCATAAAAAACAAACGCCCCAACTGGCGGGGGCAAAAATGGGGAAAATACGACTACGAAAGCCGAGTCTTGGGGGGGAGTTATGCGATGCTATGCGATGCGATGCCCGTTTTTATGACACATATGCAAATGCAGAAGGACTTGTGTAGCAAGCAGGCTTGATTCTGTGTCGTCTTGTTTATTTGTTGTCACTGATAGGTCACACATATAATTGAAATTTTTTTCTACCCAGTTTTAATTAAGGTGAGGAGAAGGGGGAGGAGTGTTTACCCAACTGAAATGTATACCAGGAAATCTACTTAGGCCACAAAATGCAAAAAAGTGTAATAAATTATGTAAGCTTTTAAAGATTTGCTTTAACTTGTGGATACTTGGGATTGAACTTTTGTTTTATTAAAGCTTTAAATGTGAAAATAAGAGTTATACTTTTCCCGCAGTGTGGCCAAGCTTGCTTAGGTTTCAATTAGAGTGGCCAGCTTGGGTAAAGAACTTGGTTTTCCTTTACTTTAAGGACTTTTGAAAGACTTTAGAGTGATAATATGTGCTTTAATTTATGTTTTACGTATATTTTTTATTAAAAAAACCATTAAATCACGATTTAACATTTAATTTATATTTTTTTCAAGCCTTTTGCTAACAGTTTCTCCTTTTCCAACATTTCTCTGCCTTTCTAAAGACCCCTTTCCCCTTTCTTTAATCGGCCGTAGAAAAGAGCCTCCGACACGCTTCGTCAATGACACCAATTCCTAATCATGGCCCTGTAGGCTTTGTTTGTTTTTTGAGGAACCAGGATAATCGAAGGATGCTGCAGCAGCAGCTGCTCGTCCTAAACTGGCCATTAAAATGCACAACGCCACGGCTAATTCGCACATTGGCCAAACACAAAGTCTCAATTTCTGCTCTCTCGCGCTGGTTATATTAGAAAAATCCATAAACGTAAGCATCAAATTTAATGCGAATAATAAAAGCAAATTAGCCACAACAACAGGGCCTGAGGCTTGGGAATGGGTGGGAAAATTCAGAAATAAATAAATACATGCCCATAAAGAGCAACATACAAATGCGATTAAAGTATCGGGGGCAATAATATTGACAGCCACCGACGACGACGACGACTACGATCAACAGGAGAAGTAAAACCAATAATAACCTCATTCAAGTTCATGTAAAATCGGTGGGGCTGGGGGAGTGGGAGGTGGCAGCATTTGGAGCTCGGTCTCTTAATTGGCGTGCGAAGCAGATGGGCGAAAAAGAAACGGAAAAAAATCGAAAGAGGGAGGGATAAATTACACGTGTTTTCATTAACCCCCCTCAAAGCGGGGAGTCCCCTTTGTGCGTTTTGAGTTATTATAAATTCATGGCAAAGATTTAAACGTATTTATGTTATTACTCAACTGAGTTTACAAGGAATTTTTTAATTTGTAATTTACAAATGAAAACAATCAGGCAATTATATGGGGAGATTTTCAGTTTTTAGAAATACTTTGTAATCGATAAATTGGAATGTATCTAAATTTTACACAAATTATCTCAAAATAGTATTTTAAATCATAAAAATAGTTTCCTATAAGCCTAAAAATTATAAATAAATTAATAAAAAATATATTTATGCTATATATATTTTAATAAACACCTTAAAAACCTTTAAAAAAGTATAAAAAATATTGAAATATATTCCACTTACATAAAACTACTCTCCACTGTCCACTTTAGACCCCAAAAACCTCACTTGGTGTTAATTCCGAAGACGAAAAATGTCAATAGACGTTGTCTCTGAGAGGAAGGCAGGTGAGGCCAGGTGGGCCAGGCGCCGACTTGCTCAGCGCTAATGAAATCAGACAACATTAACTGCGCCGCCGGCAGTCGAGTCGCCCGATGATGCCAATCATGACGTCGCCGATGCGATGCCATGGCTCAGGTAATATGGGCCAAGACAACAGGTAACAGGTGAGAGAGCAGTCGAGTGAATTAGATGGGCAATTGTTGCTCAAGGTTGGAGCTCACTCCTCCTCCGCTGTGTGTGTGTGTGAGTTATGGCCCTTAGCCGAATTACCTCCATCTCCCACGAAAACGTAAACGTTTGATGTGACGGAACTTAAATAAATGTAATTTGCTGCGGTTATTGGCGGTGAGCAAGGCCATAAGGCAGAACTCCTTGGGAGGCAATTCAATTTCAGGTGTATATCAGCAGCATCCGTTGCCTGCCAGCCAGCCAGGTAGAGATTTTGCCTGGGGGGAAAGCTGGGCTCTCCCAAAGCCGTCAATAAGTTGGACTTCGGTATTGTGTGCTGGTAAGTGATTAAATTAATTTTCATAAGCCCCAAATGCTGGCTGATTGGCGCTTAGTTTGGTAGCTGCCTCTCAAAAGCAAAGCAATTAATTATATCTGATTCAGGCAGACACTATACATAGTTGCTGGTGTTGGGGCTTTCCTAAAGTTTTCGCCAAATAATCGCATTACTTAGCATACCATTTTGGGTTTATTGTTCCATAAACAAGGGTATTTATTTACTAATATACTATTTTCTGTTCAATATTATTTAGAAGTTTACAATATACACAGGGATTAGGCTAGAATTATGCACTGAAAAAGGCAGGGAAATTGGTATTTGATTGAAATTATTTAGGGGAAAGATAGGTGTTGAAAATTTAAAATGCTTGGAAATTTAACTTTAAGAGATAGTTATTCTATTTGTGGGTCTGATTTAGTTTTTATCAATTTCTTACTTGGTTACTTGGTTATTTAAAATGTCTTAAAAATAGTTCATAAAAGTAAGCAATGACTTTTAATTCTTATATTATTTAATTCTCTTACTTAATTCTGGTTTACAATTTACGTCTCTTGAAAAAAGAGTTCCTAAAAGTATTTAAAAACTCCCGTAAACCCTAAAAAATTATCAGATTTTTTCAAGTATTCTTTTTTATCACCATTTTAATTGACTTTACAATAACTCCCAGACTTATAACCCTCAAATCCTCTCTCTACTTGGGAATTATTGCAGTAAGTAAGTATCTGTGCCACTTCAACCGATTTATTTCCTGATCTCTGGCTATTTTACTCTTGAGAGTTAGAACCGGGTCAAGTCCTGACGATTCCCATAATGACTGGCACTTACTCAATGGCCAAGAAAAAATCCAAGAAAATAAAATAAAGGACCCAAAGCGACCAAGCTAAAGTCCTGCTGAAACTTTTCAATTAGTTATGCTCACAACTTCATAATGCGAGGAGGTGGTGGAGTGCCAAAACAGGCAAACTGAATTTGCAAAACCAAATTGGCAAACATGCCAATAAGTAGTCCTGCAAACACTGAACCACTACCCATTCAGCTGAAATAAAACAACATTTGACAGCCATTTAATTTGCTTTTGGCCCCTGCAGGCCAGGACATTAAAAACCCCAAAATAAACACCGCGGGCCATACAACAAAAATAAGTCAACTAAAAAACTGTGACACAGCATTGTGTGTGTGTGAATGTTGCCATCCATATATTAGTTTTCCCAAACATGGTAGTAGATACTCCCTGGGAGTCGGTACTCCCCCACACAAAAACGACAGCTTTCGACTGTTTTATTTATTTGGTTAATTATGGCCGCTAGGTGCGGCTGGGTCTGTGCCGAATGCGGCCTCGGAGCAAATAATAAAATCAAGCAAATAACACAATTACATCTCTGCACGCAAATAAAATTACGCGATGGCACAGACACAGTCACAGGACTGGGGGTACAGATACAGATACAGATACAGTTACAGTTACAGATGCAGATGCAGATACAGCTCCAAAACACAGATACATTTACGGATACAGCGACAGTTGGCAAAAATAATAAGCGCGTAATTATGCGAATTAGGCGACAAACAGCAGGCACATTAAATAAAGTCTAGCATACGCCCAGGGGCAACTAGCTAAACATGCTGCAGTGCCAGGAGTGCCAGGAGTGCAGGCACTCTTCTAATTTCACTTAAAATATTATTAAAGTATATGCGAATTGGGGAGGAGCGTTTTCTTAATGACAAGGAATTTAAATATTAAAGAATTTCATGAAAATGAATTTCAGAGATAAAGTTTATTTTAAGGAAAGGAACCGGGATCCTTAACCTGCAGCTGATGCCAAAAAGAGTATGTTCAAAGAGTTTTAAGAATACATTCCTTACAGTAGACAGAAGGACTCTACTTTTCAATATAATTTTTATATATTTATTGCTCCCGAAAAAAGAACTGTGAACAGGATAACCTGCAGATAATGTCTAAAAGAGTATTTTCAAGAGCTAAAAAAATACATTCCATACAGTAAACTAATTAGTATTTATGTTTGCTTAACCCATCCAAAGATTTTAAGTTTTTTAAAATTATGTTTCTCTATTAAGAGTCCCTGAACAGGATAACCTGAAGCTTTCATAATCTCTAATGCTTAAAAGAGCCTTTTCAAAGAGTCTTAAAAATATACTATATTCCATTCACAATATTTTAACCCAAAACCCCTTCTATTAGAAGTGTATTTCCTTATCGACTCGCTGCCAGACCTTGTTTACCTTTTTTCTATTTACCTTATTTTTGGCAATTAGTGTGTTTATTTACAACTAAACAGGTTGAAAGTCCACTACATGGCTGGCTACTAATATACACATAAGTGTGCCGGAACACGTGGGCCAGGGCGACGTGAACAACTATTGAAAGTCCTTGCTTCCCCCCTGAAAAATTCTCAACAACATTTCAACATTTCAGGCTGCAAGGGCGAACGTGGCCAAGAGCTGCAAAAGGGTGGCAAGAGGGTAAGGGGGCCCGGTGTCGACCAGCAACTGTAGGCAACTAAGGCGCATAAGCGTCGTCATCTAATAAAAATTTAAAGCCATTATTGCAAGTTGCCAACGTCCTCGGGCGGACTCCATTGCCAGAGCTCAGGAAAGTCGAAGAAAAGCCGGGAAGTAACCCTTCGCACCTACCCTTGATCCCCTGCAATCCCCGCCAGAGCATTAAAACAAATTCCCAAGTATATTGTTTGAACAAGTCTCGTAGAAAACGTCAAATGTTAAATTGCCAATTTTTTGTCTAGCTGCTCCTTTTTTCCTGTTTTTCCTCGAGTGTTTCAGGATGGCGAGTGTGGATGTGGAATTTGGTAGCAGCCGTTGCCATTTCACTTTATTTGCAACAAATTCTAAGCTGCATTTACAATAGGCAGGAGCAGAGTGGAGCAGGACCTCGGCCTCTCTAAGACGACGGAGCTGAATGCAACAAAATGTCGGGAATCCAAGGGATCTCAGGGGTGCCCAGTGCCCGGTGCCCGTTGCCCGGTTTCTGGCCATGCATAAATTGTGTTACTGCCTTTGTTCCCCGTCCGAGCTTTACGCTTTACTACTTTCTGGCCAACATTTTATTTCATTTCCATTCGAATGCCGCACATGCAACATTTATGACATTCAAGCAACAGAATCTATTCATATCTCTGCCACAAAAGTCTCTTCTCCTTTATGATGGAAATTAATATTGTATATATTAGATTTGCCAAGTAAATGCAGCAGAATCAAAGTAAGTAAGTCCCCAAGACTGGATGTCAAAGTGAAGGCAAAGTAAGAGCTGAGCAAAAGGAAAAAGTATAACTTTTCACCTCCTTTGAAAGGGCTCGGAGTATGAGTAGGAAGCACGAACTGCCAGCAGCTATCATCGAGTAAATACCTGGCTTTTTAGCATATCTCGTTTTACTCCTTAAATAAATATGGTCATTTTTGAGGTTTAGAGTTTATTAAATAATTTATAAAATATTTATTCCGAAGGATATTTGCATTTTCTGCAGTGAGAAATAAGGGTAATTGGAAACTGTCTTTGGTTTCTGGGAAAAACCTGTGTTAATTTGCCAGGAGAGCAGTTTAAAGTCTTTAAGGAAATAAATGCATTATCCTAAGAGCTTAGACTAGACTTTAATTATAAATAAAATTTAGTATAAGATATTCCTTTTAGTTATTAAATTGTACCCTCTGCTTCCTCTACGTTCTCTACCTTTTATAGGCTACCCACCTTTTTGCGTGTGTGATGTGATGTCCTCAAATATTTGCATACGATAAGTGGCAGGCGGATGGGTTTTCACAGCCGAGAAACAAAAGCCACCTGTCAGATTTTTCCGCCCCTCCCAAAAGATTTCCCTTCAGTTTTTTTTAGTTACTCAGTGGAGGGCCCGCAGATACACACTTCAGTTTACTGGCACTCGCATCTATCAAGGATCTCCGCGGGGCTGACAACTTGCGACCGCTTGAAAATCCTTAAAAAAAAAGAGAAAAGCGAGGAAAAACGAGGACACTCGTTGGTTAGGAGATACTACGCCACCTTATCAGCGACTGCGGCGTGATTTGCATTTGCATTTCCCTGTGCTTGTTGTTGCTTGCTGGTCTCTGGATGTCCTTGTGCGCAGGGGGGGTTGTTGTTGTCCTTGTTGTTGGGGTTATGTAGGCTCCCCCGAAATGCGGATTAAAAGGGATTAAGCATACGCAGCGTGTACCGAGCCGGTGCTGCCTGCCTGCCTTGTGGTAGGTAGTTCGCGGAGGGCAACACATGTTTAAATTATGCTCAAAATTTGTTTAAAGCGAGGTGTTCGAAGGGGTCGGAGTGGGTTGTTGTTTGTGTTCCTTGGTTTTCGGGTTTGCTGTAACTGATAAGCGGCCCCAAGTCGCGGCTATAGAGCAGGGGTTTTGGAGGAGGCCTAGGTAAGCCGTGGGGTCTTGACTTAAATCGATGCTAATTTTCGGTTTAATTCAATGGTTTTGTTTACATGTTCTGGAACAACACACTCACACCCACCAAGTGTGTGTGTGTAATGACATTTTGGCTTTTTGTTACTGTGGCGCGGCTGCTGTGTAAATAATGGCGTTATTATATTGCTTGATATCCACTGGCAGCTGATAAAAATGGCGGTGCAAACAAAACCACAACAAGCAGCAGGTGTTAAAAATTTCACAATATGATTATCTACATTTTTTTCGTTCGCACTCCATACATTTCTGGTGTGAATTTTTGATGAAATTATGCGTGTGCCGAGTTAGGCGTAGCGTAAATAATGCGTACTTATCAGTGGAAAACATTGGCCCAGGTCTGAGCTTAGCTCCGCACACACACACATTAGGTTGTGTTTTGGGTTTGGAATTGAAGTGCATATGAGTGCGAGTTCGAGTATCTTTCGGATTTGGGTTCACTGCGGCGGTTGGTTGGGGGGTGGTGTGTGTGAAAGGAGCTGGAAATCTGTGGTGCCGCAAATTAAATCCCACTTCTATAGAGGTGCGATTTTAGGAGACTCCAAAGGGGGATTTTAAATTGCCAGAAAGTGTACTTGATTTACCTATTTAAATGGGTTTACTTTAAGTAACTTTAGCTTTGGTTTTAACATCATAAAATTATTCTATATTAACTATATTATTATACAAATATTCCCTACATTTTTCCCACCCATTTCTCATGGTAATCAACCCCAATTCATGCTCCCCACATTGCCATAATTGAAAGCCCAGTTAATCAAAGAACTAATACCAATTTAGGCTTAGCCAACTTTCTCTCCGCATCCTTGAGATACAAAAAAAAAGGGCCAAAAGTAACGTAGAAATTGCAGGCAGTCCATCTCCTGGCGCCCCGTTATTCATTGAGGTATAATAACAAAGTCAATGAACACCTTGATGACAGTTAACAGAAGCCAGAAGGAAGGAGCCAAAAAGGAGCACTACTTACACTCGCACACTCGCACAGCGGGCGGAGAAGGACGAAAAGATGGCGCAAATTACAGACAAGCTTATTACGCAAAATTTCGCTTAATTAGCAGGCAAAAGGGAACCGAACCAAAGCCAGAACAAAACGCAGTGGAAAAGCGTTGGAAAAGCAGGGAAGTAGGCAACAGTTGCCCAGGGATAGAGGATAGAGGAAAAGTGAAAAGGACACAACAGAGAGACTCAGAGAAACTGGGTGAGACTAGAGGGTGGGGCAGAGAAACTACTACACACATGTGTGGCATGGCAGACTTATGGCACCTTTTGCCAGGCAAAGCATAATATATGAACTGACCTTAACAACTTGCACAGAGCCACGGCAACAACAACGGCAGTCAGGCAGCAGCAACTAAAACAACAACCGTCAAGAGGAAGAAGCAACATGTTAGCTGAAAGGCAACCACCGTGGGCTAAGGGTTGGGAGTGGAGGGGGGCCGGAGGTAGGGAGGGATACGAAATTTACTTGGCCAACAGAATATTAAATGCCGCGTGGGAATTCTCGCCGTTTATGGTAGTTGCAGGCACCAAACTGGGCCAGCTGGGAGCGCGACAGAGATGGCCGGATAGCGAGCAGCGCGGCCAGTTACGCTTCAGTAATTTCACTTAAGTCATTATGAGCCATTAATAAAGCCGGGCCTGTGTGCACTGCTAGTTGAGTTACCAATTTATGCACAGGCTATCTATCTAGTCAGAGACTCGTTTTACACATCAAAAATCAAAAGAGAGGGAGAGGTTTTGATCCAAATGATGATATAAGTTGGGTAATATAAGTGATAAGCTGTTGGATAAGTATAAAGTAACAGTGTATATATGTTATGTATTCATATTAAAAGAACATTTTCAAACCTCTCAAAACCTTTTAAAACATTTTTACTCTTTGAAAAACTTGCTAGTAAAATTTCTATAAATTCCCCTACAAAAATCTTTATATAAGAATATTAATATATACTCCTCACGTCTCCCTTAAAATATTTACCACCAGTGATCGTGAGGAACCTGAGCCAGTTTCGCATTCTTTGCCAGAGGAACTGTGGCATTCCTCCTCTGCTTCTGGCACAATATTTTTATTATTCAGATGCGCAGACAAACAAATATATTTGTTGATTCTTTGCCGACTTGTTTGCTGTTTTTTTCATGTATTTTTCCCTGCGGTGCAGGGAGAGTGAGAGGAAAAACCCAACTTTAGTATGTAGTATTGGCTTTGGCTTCAATTTACCATAGCCCGATTTTTGTTTGGCAATTGAAGTGCATTTTTATTGCAATTTATCAGCAGCTGGAAAAGCAAAACTCGAGTGCCCGACGATTTGTGTTGGGCGAGGTATTTAATTAATTTGAAAAATAAAATCCCGCACACATATATATATATGATATGGAGGAGAGATACTCCATTCGGCGGCATTTATTTATTTGCCATTCAAGCGGGCGAGCATTCCGGAAGTGCAAAAATTTTGTTTGATTTTAAATATTTAACGAGAGATGTCGAGGAGCTGTTAACGAGAATGATTCGAGTTAAATGAAAAAAATTAACAAACAAAAAATTGAATTAAATATTCTTGGAACTCAGACACTGACTGATTAAAGATAAAGGTTTGTTGAAAGGGAGAAACCACCCCTATTTAGGCACCCCTCCCATGTGAGATTATGAGTTCTTTAGATGCGCTTTTGATTTCGAATAAGTTTTGATACTTGCCCCCTCCAGCCAGAGGTAATCCCGAATCTCGGTCAATTCATTTCCTATTACTCAAATATACACATATATATAAAAGTTTTTCTAATTCATCTCATTGCTGTGGCACTTTCACTTAAGTCGAAAACTTCTAGGATCTGTTCTTCCTTGTTGTTATTCCTTGTTGGTTTTCCCTCTGGTTCGATGAAGTTTTTCTCCACTCACACCCGCATCCTGGCCGGGCAAATACTTTTACTTTCATAACCAAAAGCCTAACACTCGAGACAACAACAAAACACTTTGAAAAAGTTTGCTTTTGTATGAAGAAGGCTCTTAAATAAGGCCTCTTATACCGGCCTGCTTATAAAATCAAGTTATACTAGGAGTTTATAAGAGCAGCTTATACTGAGAGCTTATACTAGCAGCTTATACTGTTGGCTTATACTCTCGGCTTATACAGGCTCTTTCTAACCCTTCTTATACAGCCCTTATAAGTATATGAGTAGGGATTGCTACTCTACTATTTATCCTTTTAGCTGCACTCTTCGAAAACTTATTCAGCTATGGAAAGTACACAGTTATAAGAGGCTTATAAGAGTGCTTCTGCACAAGTAGCAGAGTTGCAAACCTCTAAGCGCCGAATCAAAGGATGCTGCGAGAGTCCTCGCACGAGTACAAACGAGAGCTTCCCACAAAAACGAAGAGGCTGTGTTCTAAAAGGATACGAGTGCGCGCGGACTGCAGCATCAAAATGGTTTTAGATACTCAGACCCATATATACATAGAAAAATGGCAAGGAAAAATCAGGAAACAACAATCGGAAAATCAAGTAAAAACGTTAATTATTTTTAGCTAAAATATACCTAATTTCAAGAAGCTCTATTTTGTAAAGAATATAAGTTTAAGTAGTAGACTCACTGTATAAGTCTCTACTAATATAAGACTAGATTGAGCAGTGTTTCAAACCTTACAAGTTAAGGTCTGACAGTATAAGTTCCCTCCAAACCTGGTTGCCAGCTATTTCAGCTGCTGTTTTCCGGTTTTCAACCAAAGTTCGAGTTGGCTTCGAACAACCGTGAGCCGCGCTTCAAGATACAAGATACAGATACTTTGCGTTTAGTCTTATTCGGTCTGCGCGTGGTTTATGTTGTCCAGAGTCTGCGTCGCTCAGCGTTTCAAGTTCAGAATTTCGGAGTTATAGCGCCAAGAAAAAATCTTAGGAAATTATGTAAAACCTACAAAAATATCAATGAAATATCTATGAAAATTTCAAAGATTTGACAGTTTGCATTAACTGTTTGTGCCAGATTTGGAGTTTCGAGTGTGTTTACCTAGTGTCACCGCGAAAATGTCTAACGAAGTGCGTTGCCAAGTGCGGCCCAGCCTAGAACTGGCCAAGGAGGCTCGTTGTTATTAACCCAACAGATACGAGATACAAGATACAAAACATAAACACGTATCTACTGCTGCTGCTGCTGTTGCAACTGTGAACAAGTTAAAGTGAGTGAGTGAGTGAGTGTGTCGCCATCGTACATCGTTCAGCAAATTACAACAATCGAGCAACAAGCCACAAGATGCAGTTTTGGATATCGCTGACATTTGCTCTCCTCTCGGGTAAGTTATTGGTAAAAATTTTCAAAAAATATATACGCCGAATGTATCTCACAGATGCGAGCCGCCGCCGCCGCCGCTTTTTGACCGCTTGCGAAAATGTCTGCGGCAAAAGTTCATGACATTTTCGGTCAGCAAAAACAGCCAAAAAGAAGATGAGTCCCAGACACACTCCGGTGGCAGCTCGTATCTTTCCATATGAACGCTGGCTCAGTGGCTTAGTGGATCTGGGATTCGGTCTTCGGGTTCCATGTCTAGCTCAGTCCCTGCTTTGTCTGTCTTTTTTGTGTGGTTGTTGTTGTTGTCGTTTTTGCCAGCGATTTTTAGTTTGTTTGCTGTTGACATTTAAACACTTGTTTTTTCTTAACCCAGTCGGAGTCGCTGCTGCTGTTGCTGCGGTTTTTGCCCCTCCACAGCAAATAGATATAGAGAATAATTTTCTTGTGGCTGCCACACAGCCAAGTGTTGCTTTAACACACGATCCAGGGGGGCAGGAGCACATTCCACCCCTTACATCTCCTGCCTTTACACATGCAAAAGTTTTTCGTATACATTTTTTCACAGTTTCAGTTATTTTCCTCAACAATTTCTGCCAGCCTCAACTTTTATATATTTTTTTCCCTGGCTGCTTCGGCTGCTGTTTATTTGATTTATGCGACATAATTCAGGCGAACTTTGTGGCACACATAATTTAATTTTTGCCATCACTTTTGTTGAAGGAGGGGCCAAGATGGGTGGCTACTGGAACCGATTCAGGGGGCATTGCCGCCACTTTAACTGACAAACATTGTTGCTTTTTAATTATTCTCCTCGCTGCACAAAGTTTGCCGCTTTTGTCTCTGGCATAGTTGGAGTTTTTTATTTGTTCATCTGTTAATTGAAAACTATTTGCATATCAAATTTGTGTGGCGTTAAAAAGAGTTTAGTTCTCTTTTCGTGAGTGCTAATTGTTGAGTGTTGGAAGTTTGTATGGCATTCAAAGTCTGATTCGATTCCATCATCATCTCACGATCATAATGCCTCATGACGAATTTATTAGTGGGCATTGAAAATGTTTGATTAACGCCATGTGAAAAGAGGAGCAAAGAAAAAGCGGCGCCTAAGAGGGGGAAAATAAATACAGAAAATAGCTGGAAAATGGTTTATGGGTATCGGGAAAATGTTGGAAATTTGTCTGATTATTATTTATTATTTTTTTCTGTGTTCATTGAACTAAGCTTAAGGCTACCAACTATAAAAAACTCTTTAAAAATTCATAAATGTTTATGATTCGTGGAATTTATGCTCGTTTAGCATACAAAACGATGTGAAAATACCAGGAACTACCAGAAAAAAGTAGAAGCAGCACAAAAACAAGGAAGCAAATGAGGTTCCTGACAGGTTAGCAATATAATTTCCCGAGTTCTTTTGCGGCATTACCACCTGCCAGTGCCTGTGCCTGTGCCTGTCCCTCATTATATGGAACTATCAGATACAAATGGCTGTGTGTGTGTGTATGTAGTTTGCACGCGTCGAAAATTAATATAAGCCAAGCTGCAAAGGGCAAAAACCGCCAAGAAACCGCTGGCCAAAAAGGGAGCAAGCTGCTAAAAAACCAAGTACAAAATACACCTGCCCAGGCACACGAGGCATGGCACTCCGGGGCACACTCTGAATATTTTCATTCATCTCTCTTCACTCATCTCTACCTACAAAATTAGTTTATATACTCTTTTTGCGTCTCGTTTTTGGCACAAACTAGAAAATTGAGGATGTGGTTAAGCGGTGGAGCTGGTAGGAGCTGGTAGGAGCTCGGCAAAAAACTCTTTTAGCCCACATTGAGCCATGGCAACATCAGTCCACATGTATGACGACTACTTTATAATCCGCTGACGATTTACGTAGGCAAATTGAATTAGAGCTGGCTAAAACCTCGGCCGGCAGAGAGTGGACTTAAAACCCGATTTGGCTTAATGCGAGCGAGTCTTTGCTGTGTGTGTGTGCTTAGCATAAATCCTTTGCCTCTGCCGTGGGCAGTGCATTGAACTAGCGGGCTAATCTGTTGCCCAACTACCAGGCAGGTTAGTAAGCCACTTGCTCTGATTAAAAGCCTCATAGAAAAAACTGGCAGAAGGAGCTAGAAAAAAATGAGTGCAAATTATATGACGAACGGGTTATGGGGCTAAGCTGGGCCGGGGTTGCGTACGAGAGAGCTCGAGCTGTGAGCCATAAAGAGCAAATGATGTTGGTACTAGCCTACATATGGCATCAGCAGCTCTTCAAGCGGCTAACTGACCGCGTTTGACTCGGAGAACAGAGGCAGAGCCAGAACCGAAGCCGATGTGATGCATGTGCTCCATTTGGACAGGGTCCAAAGGCATCCTCAAGCCCAAGTGGCCACCTCATTACGGGAGAAAGGCTTCGGCTACAGCTTGGGCTTTCCCCTTTTCATCCTTTTCACAGTTTTTGATGGGCCAGAAAATGTTATAATTTTTTTCTGTGGGTCTAAAGGAAAAACAGGATAATTCACTTGCAAGCACTCAGGATATTTTCACAGAGCCAAGGGAAAATGTTATATGCTTTTTTGTTAGATTTCTTTGAATAAAGTCTTACATTTTTATATTTTATATAATTTAATTGTATAAAATATTGGTTTAATAATATTTTCACTAAATAAAAGGCTTATAAATACCTTTTAATAATTCTAAATATATTTAAATAAATTTACAACATTTTAAAAAGGTTTAAATGTGAAATCTAGTAACTCTAAGTGAAGTAAAACAGAGCAAAATGCTCAAAAAAATATTAAATTAAATTTAAAATGTAATTAAAATACATGTAAATCTTGCTAATTGTTCAAAAAGCCCTTTGAACACTCCAATTCCTGGCTTAATAACTCCCTTTTATTTATTCTAGTCCCCTTCTAATCATCCCATAAAACCGCCCGAGTACCCATCAAAAAAGTTGCATATTTGCCACCTCATGTAGGGGCAGGTTTTTCCCAAGCCTAGCTAAATTCCAGCACGTATATAGCACATATATCCATCAGAACTGCATCTGCATCTGCATCTGCAACGGAAAGAGTGCCGCATAATTACAACCCTCCGGTGGCAGTTGTACCTTCTCATTGCTTTCCTTCGCAGGGACCTGGCTCTGGGCTTGATCACAAAGTGGCGACCCCGAAGCACAAAATGCTGGTCATTTGTTTTTATGTAAATATAAAAAAAAAAAACATAATGTGTGCGTTGGCTTATGCACATTTCCCATCTTCATTCCGGATCCTCCTGAAGCAGTGTTTATTCTTTTGGCTTCGAGTAAACATTTCTATTTGGGCTGGCGCAAAGTCTCTCTCTGGTTTTTTTTCTTGGTTTTTGGTCAAATCGCAAAACATGTTCCCTTATTATTTTTTCGCAAATTCACTTCCGCCCAGCGAAAACCGAAAATGAGCAGCAACGAAAATTGCTATAGCAACTTCTTATTTTGCTTCATTCTCGCTGCCAGCGAATTTTCTTTTGTGTTTTGCAGTTAAAATAAATAACAGTTTATGAAAATTTGCCAAAAAGTCAGGCCAAAGTGGAGTGACTTTTCCTGTTTTGCCTGAGAACGAGCGAAACCCATTGTAACTGAAAAAAACCAAAGTAGAATTTCCGAAGAGTAACACAAAAAAATGAAGCTAAAAAGCTGCCCATTTAAAAGGCGTCGACGGCGACGATTCCCCGCAAATTTGTTCTCCCTGGAAATTTGTGCTAACGAGTTGTCGTTGTTTGCTTTCCTCAACTAGAGAGAGAGAGAGCAAACCCGGGACTTCAATAGGCCCCTCCTGTGATGAGGTGTAGCTCTGGCACCCATCTATACTATATCCCCCAGACTCCACGCTCCGCCGTGTTGTCTTTGTGCTAAATTGAACCAATTTTTTGTAGTGCTCCTCCCCTGGTTTTTGCCATTGCGCTTTCATTTTGTTTGTGTAGGGTTTTTTTTTGTATTTTTTGTTTTTTTGTTTTTTTTACAAACATATTCTGTTTTATGCTGCTGATGCTGTGTTGCTGCTTTTTTTTGCAGTACTTTGCACGTCAAGTGAGTGAAAACTCCGAGCCGGAGAATGCGATTTCCAGCAAGTGAGGAGTGTGAATGCGAATGCGCTTTCAAAGCTCGACTGCTGTCTATTCATGCGTGGTCATATAGGATATATATATGATATATATATACAGACAGAGCAGAGCCAAAGGTCCTGAATCCTACACCCACTCAAGGCTCAACACTCTACCCCCTTGAGCTATCGTAGCAGCCGGAGGCTCATGAAATTGATATTGTTGTACTTTAGGTTTATGTCGAATCATAATCGTTGCTTATCAGGGCTAATTCGGATTTTAAGGCCAATATTTGTAGGATGTTAAGTGCCTGGATATTTGATTGGATGTAGAATAAAGGAATAACTTTGATAAGAATAAATTTGTAATCATTTTTTATCATTTCTTTCAAGATAATTTCAAGAAGGCTTTCAATAAGATTTTTGGCAATTGTTCTCATTAGTTATAACACAAAGTGTTATAGGTTTTATTTCTTGTAATTTTATTTATATTATTTTGATATTGTTAGGCCTAGAATACACTGAAAAACATTTCTATAAACATTCTGTACGAACTAAAAATATCTATCATCCTTGAAAAACATTTTTGGCAGTGGTTTTTAATAAATATTGAACAAAGTTTTAAAGGTTTAATTTCTTTTAGGTTTATTTATATAATTTTGATATTGTTAGGCCTAGAAAACACTGAAAAAAAATGTCTAAAAATTTTTTTATATGAACTAAGACTTGTAATACTTATTATAAATATATAAACTCTACTTTCAAGGCTAAGAAAATATTCTAAAAATTCTTCTACTATTTCTTTTGCTTAATTAAACAATTTAAAAAACAAAAACTTTATGGCTTAAAACCCCATATAAACCCTAGAAAAATCCCTTATCTTCTACATTTTTTATGTATATTTTTCCCCCTGTGTACTCTGTGGTCTTTTCATCTG